ATGTACATATCTTAAATGACCAAACACATTTTTGTCTTGCTAGTCTTTTATGGTGGAATTGTTTTTAGTCTGTAACAACATGAACGGTTCGCTTATATACCTACCTATATGGTTTGACTGACATCAATAAAGAGTCGAAACTGGTATCAAATTCCATAGTGATGAATGAATCTTCCCCATCTAAGACTAGTTCGAGATACCAATTTTTACTTACACAAAGAAAGAAAATTTTATTATATTGACCCAACAAAAATTGTATAGCTTATCTACTTCTTATGGTTTAAAAATATTTATTTATACTCACGTGATTCAATTAATTCATAAAAGGCTAAAAATATTGTTTTTTTTTTCCGGAAGAACAGAACATGTTTCACTTTTTGTTGTCAATGTTCTAAAATTTTCAAATTTGTTGATAATGTTTAAAAAAAAAACTATTAAATCTATATTCTAGAATGCAGTTTAAACTAAATAATATAACAGTGTAACACCAAAGAAATGTCATCTTATATAAATCGAAAAAAATATACGCGTAAAATGTAAAATAATTTTAAAATTTTTATTTTGGTCCTTTAACTATTAACATCTCAATTAATATCTTCCTATATTGATTTATTAGAAATGCAACATAACCTTTATATAAATATATAATGGGACTGTATAATTTTAATAAAAAATTCAGAACTAAAATTGAGATATTAAATAGAAATTAAGTAAACTTTAAAAATTTCCAGAACCAAAATAAGAAATATGCAAAAGTTAGAAGGCTAAAATTGCCATTAACCAATAACGTTCAAAGTTTTTTAATTTTCTTTTAATTAAAGTATAGAGTTTGAGAAATGTCTTAATTGTTAAAGTTGTATGCAAATTGATAAAATGTTGAAAGGTTAAATTTTATCCCTGGGAAATTGATTGACCTGAATAATTTTCCCTTCCACATGAAATATCCAACATAATATACAAATATGAAGAAAACAGTAAAGAACAAGAATACAACACAACAAATTATACTGGTTCACCACTAAGGACTACATCCAGTCTTCCATTCGGGCCAATCAGCGAGACTTTGACAACAAGACTCAACTGCGGAATTGACTGAATAGGACACGAGTGGGTACTTTCAAGCCTATGTGACCAATGCACTTATGCTGCCTTCACTCAAACACTTTCAAAGAAGCAAGGGGAAGGAGCGAAGCTGCTTTACCGAGTTTACGAGGGGAAGGGGAAGAGTTTTTGAAATCGATTCACTAAGCTAGCTTCACTCTTAAACTACTTGAACTAGATGAGCGGTACGAGCTACCTACTCTACTAATAGGCTTACTACAAAAGAAAGGAAGGCTATTTGAGATCCTTTTTCAAGGCTCAAGTACTCATACCCATAAGACCGATTAAGGAAAGATGTGGGTAATTCACTAATATTGTTAAGGATTGGAATGACACTCCCCAAAGTATTTTACACAATTAATATTTAGGAACAGGAATGCAAAACTCATAATAATCAAAATCTAATCACCCTGAATATGATGATTTTGATGAGCCTCAATGCCTCTGCCAATGTCTGAGCCTCTCCATTGAAACTGCCACGAATCCCTTTGAAAGCGGCTTAAAATCGGCTGAACAATAACTCCTTTTCGGCTAAGAAATCCTAAACCTGAAACTGCTCTTTTATAGACATCGAAACAGCGCCATGACGCTACGGACGAAAAATTCTGCCTACGCCCCCATTCGGACGGCGCTACATCCTCGGCCCAAATGGCCTACAGCACTCCGCTTCCCTATTTTTCAACCCCGCTTCGATCCTGACGCGTTCCGATTCGATCCTGACTCTTCCTTAGCTCGGTTCGACGTCGTTTTGACTCTACCAATCCCAACACATGTTGTTTTATAATATATAAACAAGTTATACTTACAATCTCGGAATTTCATTCTAACTCTTTATATAGATATATTGAACAATTTCACATTGGAGATTAAATATTTTCGTGAGGTTAAGATTTTTTGTTGTTGTTTTTGTTTTTGCTATTTTAATTAAACATACCATTAGTTGATAATTTTTTTTAATGAAATTAGATATAAGTTTTCTGAAAAGTAATGATATTAAATTGATCAGCTCAATCTAGAGTGCACGACTTGGTTCCTAGTTAAGGTAGAGATTTCATTAAGTTATAAATTCATTTCAGCATTTAATAAGATGAGAACAAAATATAGAAAATAATTTAATAACAAAGGGTTTAACTTGGGTTTTTTTTTTAGCATAAACTAATTGGTTCCTTTTAGAGTATAATAATACACAAATGTGGAGAGTAGAAATAATTCAAACTTTCGAGATTTGTCTTTTTATAAGAAAAAATTATATTAATATCTTAATTAGTTAATATATGCTTTATTTCTAAACTGACTTAAACTATATAAATTATAGCTCCAGTGTGTATCGATTTGTGAACAGAATAATCTGATCTTGATGGACTTTATCATAATTTTATACTATATGATTGATTATAAAGAAACCCCCAAATAAAATACTAGTAATTGTCTAACCCTTGAGAATATATAAACCATTTTTAACTTACAATTTACAATGTATGCCATTTTTCTTATTTGTTAGTGGGTTATCTTGGCATTATTATTATTATTATTATTATTTTATGGAATTTTTAAAGCTCCCCTATTTGAACTATGAAAAAAACAACTTATTTCGCTGAGATAAAATTCAGCTTAGTTCAAGAATTAAGACACCTAATCCTCTCGAGGTCGAATGTTAGATTCTCTCTCTTACAATTGTTGTACTAAAAGAAAAATCGCGAAAACAATTTGAAATATATTCTTCAAAATTTCTATTGTAGTACGATATATAAATATGATAAGAAAGTAAAAAATGAATTTATATGTGAAGTTCGAAATTTAGAGAGAAATATTTTTTGTAATATAAATGCCTAAAATACAATAATGGTAAATTTTAGTAACTAAAATATGATTTAAACCCTAGTTTTAATGGCCAACAATGAACATATAGTTTCGTCGTAGATACCTTTTTTCTTTTTCGAGGTCTGAGATTCAAATTTCCGTCTCTATCTTTAGAGTAAAAGAAAAGAAAAGAAAACTAGTTTTAATTAACAAAGTAAATTTGAAAAACAAATAGAAATACGCAAATATGATGAGAGGGAGCTCAATCCACCAAATCAACATAAATAGTACCATTAAAATATATATATTAAAAAAGTCACCATGTCAGCAATTGGACAACATGTGGTTATTTAATATATATATATATATACATATTTTACTTCACAATGCTTGTTCAATTATTATTTTAATTGAAGAAATTAACTCTTCATTAAAAATTCAACATTAGTTGGCGATCACGTGATTAAATAGTAATATCTCGAAAGTCTAATTCTTGTCAAGAGTAATTCAACATTAGTTGGCGATCACCTATCAACTTAAGTTTTTAGGTTGGATGGTGGTTTATTCATCCTTAATAATGATCGCTACCTACTGAAAAATTAATTTTCTAGATCAAGCAGTTGTTTTACGAAATTAGTCGAGATACGTGTCTATAGATTTGGACACTAGCAGATATAAAAACAAAAATAAAAGGGCTAAATTAAAAGGAGCATGAGTATGGGCTTTATAAATTATATACTCAGCTGCATCAATAGTGAAGAAGATAATGCAATCTTCAATGTCAGAGAAATTAATGGATCTGAAAGCCATTCATAAATGCTCCAAAATTATTTATTACAAATTTGTTTTCTTTTGTTTTGGGCTTCTCCAATCAATGAATCATTGGTTTTTATTTTTTTTTTATATTACAGATAAAAAAAAAAGATAGAATTCGACAATTAAATTATTACGAAAAATCTATTTGATAGTGTGAAAGACAGCTTAGATGCTTCATTGCTGAGTTTGGACCATAGATTTATGGTCATTTTACATTAAGTGTATGATTTGATCTCTGACAAGTCTACACTATTTTATTAATATTTGTCCTTACTATAACAAAAGTTTGAATTTTAAGTTTTAATGTATATAACTTTCTTCAATTAAATTATGAGTTGATAAGTTTGAATTTTAAGTTTTAAAGTATATAACTTTCTTCGATTAAATTATGAGTTGATAAGTTTGAATTTTAAGATTTAAGGTATATAACTTTCTTCAATTAAATTATGAGTTGATAAGGATAACATTATTAACAAATTGAATAACTCGAAGGAAGTGACGCGACATTTAAAAAGAAATTGCTTTAAATTATTGGATGGTAGGAAGACAATCAAAAGATTAGGACATGGTTAGTAATCTGAAAACAAAAATCTAAAAATAATCCATTCAATGAAAAGTTTGTATTCTTGTTTTCAAATAGATTTGAAAATTGAATCTTAATTAAAAAAAAATTCATGATGTTTTCTAATATAATGGTAGGTCATTACTTACCCATTAAATATTTAATTTAATCTAAAATATTATTAACCAATTTATTAATATAAATTTTATAAATTTTATTAGAATTAGTTTTTTACAATATTATATAATTTATAATATATTATATTTTATCTATTTTATTCTTAACAAAATAAAATGAATTTACAACATGAAATAGCGTATTAATCAAAGTTTTTAGTTTTTTAAATACAGCTATGATTTTGGAGTTCTAGATTCAAAATCTAAAAATATTGAAAATATAAAAAAGTTGTTTTTAGAATTTCTACTATTTGGATTACAAAACCGTTTCCATCATTTTTCTCGAGAAACTATGGAAATTTCTTATCCTTCTTCTCGAAGAAATTATACATAAGATAGTTTTCACCACATACGGCTGGCTCTCGTTCAATTCCTTTGAAGCCATTCAATGCACCATATCCATCTAATCGAATGGGTACGGTTGGTTCTCTCTCTTTTTTTTTCCTTAATTATTTCTTTCATCATGGGCTTGTGTAACTATTGTGGTGTGTGAAAGCTTGGAGCATTGGATCAGCAGATTCGCACCCCACGACCGTTGAATTTCCAAATATCTTAATCACATTTTGGAAGAAGAAAAAACACAAAAAAAAAATAAAACTATATACATCTTAATTAATGATACGAAGTTAAAGAACAATTCTACCCACCAAAAACAACTCGGATTACTTTGTATAAGTACGAGGATGCATGGAATTTGGAAAGCCAGATTTCAGTAGTACAAAAGCAGATTACTTTCCTATTTTGCGAAAAAAATGGCTTCTTCCTCCATCAAAGGCAACCCCACGGCGGCGGCCACCGTGTTCCTTCTTGTTGTTCTTCAGTTGCAGGCTGCAGCCTTTGCAGCGGGCGCCGCCCCCGGCAGCGAGGAGCAGCGGGAGTTCGACTACTTTGTGTTGGCCTTGCAATGGCCAGCCACTTCCTGCACAAATCCCGGAAAGTGTTGCCCCTCCAACGGTTGCTGTCGCGGGTGAGTTTTATTAATATTCATGCGGTTCCATCTAAAAATCAATTAACAACGGAAGGAATAATGAATGTCTATTAGAAATTTTTATTGTCGGGACTCTTCTGGTTCATTAATCGTGGTCAGATCCTCGTTTAAACGTGTTTTAGACTCAAATACCGTATCGATATTCATAGGTTTTATCTAAAAACTAATTGACTATGAGAAGAGTAAATCATGTCAATTATAAACACTGGTTAAGTCTTTTATCTTTTTCTCGTAATTAACCTTCATCTAGATAAACCTTCATCTTTGGATTTTTTTTCTTTCTTTTGATGGGGTTGGTTTCAGTTGACTTTTTGAAGCTAACGATTGTTTTGTCTGATTTTTTTTCGTGTGTCTGCAGAGCTGAGTCTCCCACTGAATTTACAATCCGTAAGTGGTGTAATTAAATTGATTAATAGTGTTTTAGTTAAATTAATTAATAGTGTTTTAATTATGTGGTGGAATAATTAATTAAATGTGGCAGATGGGCTGTGGCCTCAGTATGAAGAGAAAGGATGGCCTTCATGTTGCAGTGATGCAAGCTTCAGTGAAAATGAGGTCTCTCTCTCTCTCTCACACACACAACAATCATCTCTCTTTTCAAACATAACTTAAGTGTTTGCTCGTCTTATTTTATACTACATTTAAATTTGATTTCGACTTAAATTATGCTAGTTTTGTAAAACGAATTAAAGGTGAACAAAATGTATCATTTCCAATTTGTTTTCATACTTATAAAACGAACAAATCGTTAAAACGAGTCTAACTCAACGATAATTGACATATATCTCTCCAATCAATAGATTGTGAGTTCAATTCCCTACACCCACGTGTTTGTACTTTAAAAAAATGAACAAAACACAACAACATTTCCAATAATGCTAATGGCTAAATATTTAACCAGCTTAAAAATAGGTTTAAATGAGTAGTTTTAACTTTAGTTTATTTTAGTTTGTGAACTTTCAAAATATCTATTTTGATGCACTTTTAAAATGTCCCTATCGTTTTCAAAAGTATTAACCTTTAATTTGTTTTCCTATGGTGTAGATTCTTAGCTTGAATAAGGATATTCAAAAGTATTGGCCAACTTATCGATGTGGGACAACATCAACCTGCCATAGGACCAAAGGCTCATTTTGGGCTCATGAGGTTTCAAAATTCTCTCTCTCTTCTTCTTTCTTTAGCTGAAAATCAACCAAAATTTGAGACTCATCCAAGTTTCTCTCTTGTTGTGTGATGCCCATTATTTGACATGTTATCATTGGTGCATGAAGTATGGTAAGTCGTATTATATTCTTCAATATTTCATAATATATATTTGTAATGTTTAATTTTTTGATCTTCATCTTTTATTTTGTTTCTACTTCTCTTTGATCTGTCTTTGCAGAAAAGCATGGGACTTGCGCAGCTCCTGTAATTGTGGGAGAATTTGATTACTTTTTGACAACCCTCACCATCTTCTCCAAGTACAATGTCACTGTAAGCTAATAGATCTTTGGTGCATATAACGTGTATAAAATTTTTCATTATTATGGAAGTTCGAAGAGGATCACGTGTTCAAAATAAAAATGACTTAAACGAGCATCCGGCTCAAGAAATCAGATCTAACCAAGATCGGTGAACCAGAACAATTTTGAGGGGCATGTTAAAGATCTAGGAGTTATAATAAACCTACGATGAACACCGACAAAGTTGATATTGAATTATGGTCTTAAAATTTGGTCTCTTTTTCCATTTTTTTGTTACCAGAAAGTTCTGAATGATGCTGGATTTGTAGCTTCCGATACTGAAAAGTATGCCCTTGGAGATGTGGTAGCTGCAGTTCAGGATGCTTTCAATGCAACTCCCAAGATTTCCTGCGCCAAAAAGGGAGCTGTTAAGGAACTTTGGCTATGCTTTGACAAAACTTTTCAGGTATATTTCATTTCTGTGTTTTCATCATAAAATCATACCCAAAAGCTTTATGATATGAATTTAATTGGCTAACTTTTCAAATTTAATTTCCTCGTTGAAGCCACGTGATTGCGATCTTGCGAATTCATGCCCGGATTTCATCAAGCTCCCAACATATGAGCCACAGGGTTAGTTTAATTATTTCTTTTAACCCAAAAGTTTAAGCTAAGTTATATGGTATAGGTTTAATCTTGTTTAATTTGTTTATTCTCTTTTAACCTTTATGTTTTGTGATATATAATTGCAGAGGCTAATAAGGTTGAGGGAGCAATTCCATGGATGGGTGATGCTGAAGCAATTATCTAACTTCCTTTTTGGATTTGGAAATCCTTTAAACAGTTTGCAATTCCCACCATGAAAAATTTGGAACTTTCATTGGGTAATGGTGAGAAATAAAATAATTACCAATTCGATGGAATTGGGATGCGTTTTTAATTTCTTGCATTAATTAGGAAGAATCTCTATGTTTGATACATTGATTAATCTCCAATTTTCATACACTCCTTGAAAGAAAGCTAAAAGAGGTGCATTTTATGGTGAATTACAACACCACATAGATCTGATAGAGATGATAAAATAAAGTCTTGGTCCTTAATTTATTAATTCATATGTGTGTATTTACATTATTAACAAATTAACATTTGAGGAAGATGCTAGGTTTCTGCAAGCAAAAATGAGAGACATCTCCAACGATTATTGTTTATAGAAAAACTAAAAGATATACATATTATATATGTTGGTGTGTTAAAAGCAATAAATAATAGATAATAGATGTTGGGAGTGATAAAAACGACGTGGCATGTGGACCAGTAAGAGTTAGCTCGGCTTAAAGAGCTAGCTCGGCCATAGAGTTCACCTCGGCCATAAGAGGTAGCTCGGCCATAAAGCTCACTTCAGCCATACAGTTCACCTCGGCCAACAAAGATGAGCTATATCACAAAACAATTCGCCGTGATTTGCGGGATGGTTGTAACCACTCCTCAACTGCAGTTAGAAGCTCACACCTATAAATAGAGCTGCTCGTCTCACATTTCAGGGTCCCCTGTTTGGTACACTTCCAACTCATCTTCCAGGTCATCCTCTATCCGAGCTGAGGCAGGTTTGGTCAATTTTTTGTTCAAACAATAATCAACCCGAGCATAACTCAATTTGAATACATTACTCGAATCCTCACTCAAAAAGGTTTAGAGAGAATGAATTCAAACCTCGTATGGTCACCTATCTAGGAATTAATTTCTTATGTATTTTCTTGACAACCAAATATAATATGGTCATGCAATTGTCCCGTGTGAGATTAGTGAAGGTGCATGCAAACTCGTCTGAATAGAATATATATATATATATAACAAATATTGTTGAACTAACAAAAGATTAAAAAAAAATGGAATATATAGATTTACTTAGAAAACTCTTTCAAAAAAGGATTTGTTTGGAATTATGTAACGACACATCATTTTTCAACCAAGCTTTTTTGAAAAGTGATCACCATTAGATAGCAAAAATGACTATTCTCAAGCTAGATTTAAATATAGACAATTAAAAACTTTTCTTTCTTTTAATATAATATTTTAAATATAAACTAGATCGGTAACAATATATACTAAATCAAACTAAATTTTACCAGTTGAACCAGTCAATAGCGGAGTATGAAAATATTATAAATATTTTATTAGTATTTATAGTTATATGTTCAAGTACGTTTATATTATTATATATATAAGAGAGATATTTTACTTGGTATTATTGTCTATGCTCACTCCCATTTATTTTAGCGGTATACCAGAAGTAGTATTTTAAAAAAAAAAAGTCAAAGACAGATGAAAATTTCGAGAAAAAGTTGAAAATCAAGGAAAATTAGGAAAATATTTAGAATTAGTTAATGAAACTATAATTGTAATATAATTGACATTTTTAATTATTTTACATAAAAATAATATCAACAAAAAGTTTGGACAACATTATGCAAAACATAAAAATTTTGATAAAATTGGTTCAAATAAGCTAATAAGAATTTTACTATCACTTTGATTATGGAAATAGATATCGCGATATCCAATATATGAATTAAATTTACTCAACCTACTAGCTTAAACTTCTGGGTTAACGTAGCCTTATATGACAATAGATTGTTTAGGTTTGTCAAAGTGAGCATAGTTTAATGGTAATTGACATCGTGTGATTTGGTGCTCAAACCAATCGACTCTCGTTAGTTCGATAAGTTTCGATCAATTCGATGGATTTTTCAGCTTCATGTTCACGTTTAAATTCACATGTTGGTTTTGTGTGTGATGTGTATGAGATTAGATCCTTGTAGAGGACCTTCGAACCAGCATATTTGGCCTTTGGCCGTTGGCTTGGCTCCCAAAATAAAGGTCTTAAATCACCCTAACCAAAATGACAATAGTGCCCATCAACAATCAAAACTTAAGGTAAATAATAATTTTCTTTATTATTATTTAAATGTGAAGTTCTGACCATGAGAACTACCAATTGCAGCTTCCAAAATGGCTTCTTTCTCCATCAAAATCAAAGCGTACCCGGGGGCGCCCACCGCGGAGGACGGCGGGGAGCAGCCGGAATTTGACTACTTTTTGTTCGCCCTGCAATGGCAGTGTTGCCCCTCAAATGGCTGCTGTCGTGGGTCAGTGTCTTAGTTTAACAAACCATTGTATTATTTCTTGTTTATTTTAGGTTAAATTTCATTTTTTCCACTAGATTTGAGGATAATAAATAATTAAATTTGTGCTGATCCATAAACTTGAACTTTTAAATTTAGTAGTGATTTATGATGCGTATCTAATGATTTTCTATCTGCAGAGCCGAGTCTCCCACTGAGTTTACCATCCTTAAGTGAAAAACTGAGGTCTGGATTATTTAATTTTGATATGGATGCTGTAAAATAAATAAAATAGATTTAAGAGTAAGTGTTTGAATTAATAATTATATTAATATGGCAGATGGGCTGTGGCCTCAGTATAATAATAAAACATGGCCTTCATGTCTCACGGATGAAATTTTTAGTCAAATCCAAGTAACCCACGATCTTATCTTATAAATTATATTTTCTGTCAGTGTCGGAGTCAGTTTACGCACACCTCAACTAATTTAATAGGATAGTTGTCTGACCCTCAAACATTTAAGGTAAGTGATCATTATAGATTTGAATCAATTTTTCTCGATTTAAACTAGCTCCTTTAGATCGATGAGCTACCCATAATGCTTGTCTTATAAATAGTTATAATTTTCTCCCACTGCATTATCTTATATAATTTAAACTAGGTAAATAATAATTTTCTTGAGCTTAATATATATATCCTTAATATATGCAAGTGAAGATATTGAGAAGTATTGGCCAACTCTTCAATGTGCTTCTTCAACAACCTGCCATGAAACCAATGGATCATTTTGGGTTCAATGAGGTTCAACTTATTTTCTAAGCATTACAGTGGTGAATAATAATAAATTAATAAGACTAAATATTTGTTTGACTATTTTTTTTTTATCAATTAAGTTCTCACAATAACTAAATATTAAAGAGATCGCAAAAAATGAATCTACCAATAATAATTCTATGAATTTTTCTATTATTATCAAACAAATATTTTTTTTTAGTACAGGTAAGAGGAGTAAGGGATCGAACTTACAACTTCTTGATTAGATATATAATGTCAATTATCGCGTAGCTATACTCGATTTGGCACAAAAATATTTAAGAGGCAATTTTATATAGCAAAATGTAATTTTGAGTCCAATAGGTTACCGCATAAGAAATCGTATAAAATGAGTAAATTTTGTATTTTATCGACTATAAAATGAAGAGTACTTTTAGGCTCCATTAATAAAAATATATTTTCGTGTTACATCATCTGTGTCAACTAATTTTAACGTTGTGTAAAAATAACAACTTAATTGGAAGAAAAAATCAATACATTGAAGATGAAATTGAAACTTAATTAACAGGTTAGAACCTAATTGAAAAAACTCTAAAATATTAGGGACTAAAATATCTATTTACTCATAAAATTGGATGCGTTTTTAATTTCTTTACATTGGGTTTGGAGTTTGCATTAGAAAGGATTTTTTTAGTATAACAAAGGTAGGTCGGATGAAAGATTGAACCTAACTCTAACATCTAGAGAATGTGTAAGATGTCATAATCGTCAAGCTAAATCATATTAATTAGCTGCATTAAGAAGAAGGATTGGTCGACCTTCTCAATGCATTTACAATCTAACATTTTATTAAGATTTAATAAACTTGAATTATCAATTTGAACATAGCTCAATTGATTAGACATCGATTTCCGACCACAAAGATGTGAGTTCGAATCTCCAACTCATATATTGTACTCAAAATATTTTTTTCGAGAAAGAGGTACCATTTCATTAAGAGGTATGTGAGAAACATACATACAAAAAGGAAAAGGAAGAGCCTAAAAAATGTGGTCGGTTTCGTTTCGCGCTGGCTTTTGAGAGGCTTTGACAAAAACTCGGTAATAAAATTGTTAATAGTTCTAGGGAAAGTAATTTGTATCTGAAAAATATTTAGGATGTGTAGCCAAAGAGCAGTTGTGAATGAACAATGTAGAAATAAGTGATCTAAAGATTCGTCATTTTGATAGCGTAACACACACCGATTTGGAAAGCTAACCATTGATGGAAATCGAGCTTGTATCTTATCTGCTGTATTGAGACCTCTATGGAGAAGGCACCAAAGAAAGAATTTGCATTTTGTTCAGAATGAGGAGGCTCAAAAAATTATCAAAGAAAATTGATTGATCAATTTGTGACGGTCCTGATAGGAGGAATTTCATATCCTGCACAGAAAATGATAGGAGGAATTTCATATCCTGTACAGAAAATGCTCCATTAGAAATAGCTCTCCAAATGATTTTATCAGGGCCTTTAGAATCAGATGGCTGTGTAAAAGAGGATGTAAATATGGGGGCTTTGAAGATCCTCCTTTATAAGCTTTTCAAGTGCTTTAGTAACTTGACTGGGGGCTTTGAAGATCGATAGGTAATTAGTTGACAAACTGTTATTGAATGAGAGTTAGGTGACCACCTTTTGATATGTAAGAGTACCTTTTGATATGTAAGAGTATTTCTAACTTTCAAGTTTCTTGTGAACTCGCTCGATGATCGGATCCCAAAAATATGAAACCTTTGGATTATTACCTCCCAATGGCATCCCCAGCTGATTAATTGGAAGAGAAATAATTGAGCAATCCCATATTCTAGCTAGATGGGGGAGATCTTCAGCTCATATATTGATATCGGAAGATGAGGATTTTTGGATATTGATGTTGAGGCTAGAAGTTAGTTCAAAAGACTTCAGTAGGTAATAAAGATTCTGGAGCTTGGTCTCATAAGCAGTAAAGAACACTAATATATCATCGACAAATAAAAGGTGGGAGAGATGGAAATTCTTATATTGAATGAGAAAACCTTCAATAAGATCATTTGTGTAAATGTCAGTAAAATTGCTTCCTTTTCGATCAATTGATCCGTGACTAGTAAAATGTCTAAGTTATTTTTGTTGTACTCAAAATAAATAAATAAAATTGAAAATATTAGCAAATTTGAGACCAATTTCTATGAAAATGATGAATCAGCTCCTTTCCATATTTGATAAATCTCCAATTTTCATACTCTCTTGAGAGCTCCCTCGACCACCAAGTCGTTATCGTATCTCGACCTTTTAAGACTAAACATATATTCTATTAAATCTCTCAACTTTATGACATCGCATAAATTAAATAATATCTTGTTGGTACATAGACAAAGATATTATTTAATTTATTGAGTAAATTTTTTAATCGGATAAAGCAATGTATCAAATTGATAGTTTAATTGAATTAGAAATAAATATAATATTTACGGAGGGTAGGTTTGACTGTATTCCTCTCCTATTTTTAAATATCACGTCATCAGACCAAAACTTCTAAATTATTATACTTCATGAACTAAATTTTATATATATTTCTACCCTAAATATTATAAATCAAATTAATGACTTCAAAATCTTAAAGTTCATAATCTTCAATAATTTGGGAGACAAACTCCAACAGCAAAACGACAGCTCTCCATTGTGAAATGGACAAATAGCAGCTTCCAGTGGATTCTATTAATAATGATTTGAGAAAAATCAACAATTTTTTTTTTTGAATGTTTTCATGTTAACATATTTACGGTATTCACCGATTTCAATCTCAAAATGAGTTGACCATAAGAAAGGTAGTCCATTTCTACTTATCGAATTTGGTTGGATCCCATTTTTTGATCTGAAGCTAGTTTGATCATTATCAATATTCATGAAATTTCATCTTAAAAATAATTGGCAATAAAAGGGATAGTTCACATCTATTATAAATCTTTTTTAAGTTATTTATATTTTCAATGTGGAATCCTTAACCATGTGTATTTTACTCACCGACACATTGCATTGAATGTTTTATCTAAAAAAATAATCTAAAAAACTGAAATAATTTTTTATATAATCTAAGAATTAAAAATATAGAGAGAAATAAAATAAACATTAAACTTTTGATTTAAAAGGCACCAAGTAGCGTCCCACCGCACAGAGTAAGGCTCTTCTCCTATATAGCCCACGTGACACCCTTTTGGTAATTTGAACTTCCTACTTCAAAGAAAAGAGTACATGTCTTTGTTGTTGAGTTGCGTTCTTGGTTGGTAAACGATCATTGAACGTAATTCAATTGCGGTTAATGTCATTCTCTCTCGCTGCTATCCCTATTCATGTATTTTACATTTTTGGTTACAAAGAGAGATAATCTTTAATGAAGGACCACCTATTTGAACTATTTGTACTGCACTAATAATTGACTTGACAGGAAGATAATGCCGTCACAAAAGGTCGAATTTCTATTGGTGATAGAAGGGAGAGAAAATCTTTGAAGAAGGACCACTTATTTGAATTATTTATATGCAGTAATAATTGACCTGGCAAGAAGATAATGGGCTCTTTAAAGCCATGAAGTATATGCCACGTAAGCCCTAGTTAGTACTACACGTGGTTTGGGGATTTATCATAGTTTAAGTTAAATTACAAATTAAGAAAAGTTATTAAAATGACAAAGGGAAGAGAAAGATAGAAATGTCACATAAACTGCGAAGATTCATTTTAAACAATCAAGGTTAAATTACAAATTGGTTTCTACGATTTAGACTTAATTAGGTTTTAATTTAATTCTCATACTTTTTTGGTTACGTTTTAAAAGTCATCTCTAAATTGTATTTTATTCAGGAAAACAACTCCTCTATTTTCTTTGATATATTTTCTGCTCAGCCATGAGTCTTGATAAAATCAATTAACCCAAGATTAGTGGAGTTTGACCAAATTAAAATATCTTAAATCATAGGAACTAAATTAAAACTAAAATTAACATTCAAACTATTTTCAACAAAAAAAAATTAACATTCAGCTAAATTGAAACATTGCTCAAAATTTGTAATAAGAAAATAATAAAAAATAAAACTTCAAAAATGTAAAGAGCTTTTATTGAGTATTAAAGTTGTGTTAAAATTTTTCAAATAAACACCGAATTGGTTGATCTTTAGAATTATAGAGACCAAAATAGACGTTTAGAAAGTACAATATCTAAAAAATTAGGAAAATATTTAACTCCTTAACGGTAAGGAAGAATCTTGTGTTAATTACAATCCTTACATGTTTAACAATTAAAAGAGATAAATGTAAAATTAGAGACTTTTTTATAAATATTAACGAGTTGTCAATTTTTTAATTGTAATAAAAACAAGATTTGATCATCATCGTTGAGGAACCAAATACTTTTTAAAAAACTATTCCAAAGACTACTAGTGGTAAAGACTTAAAAGGTCTTTTGTTGCTCAATAAAAGCAACGAACTTCAATTATAAAAATCCGAATGCCAGACAATATCGACTCCAGAACAAAATAAATAAATAAATAATATACTATCGAAATGGTATCTAAACTCTTTTTTTCTTTTCGGTTCAAATTCACGTGTGTGTTTTTGTGTGGTGGAATGCGAGAACTCGGGGACCCTATCCAGGAGAACGTGTTGATCACCACGACAAAAATATCTCAATCATACCGAAGAAAAGACATTTACGCCCATGGAAAGCACTAGAATTACCAAAAATGCCCCCGTCTCCTTCCTTGTATAAGTAGGAGGATGAAAAACCAGACCTCCGCACAAAAAAAATAAGAAAAGAAAATGGGTTATTTCTCCATCAGAAGCAACTCCGTGGCCGCGGTAGCGGCGGCAGTGTTCGTTGTTGCAGTTGTACAGCTGCAGACGGCGGCGTTTGCGAAAGATCAGCGGGAGTTTGACTACTTTGTGCTGGCTCTACAATGGCCAGGCAGTGCCTGCAAAAACATAAGTTATTGCTGCCAAGACAACGGTTGCTGCCGTGGGTCAGTTGCTACTTTTTTTTAATTTTTTTAAAGAATGAATAAACTAACCCCAACTCGAAAGTTAAAACTCTCGAGTAAAGTAAATTTAAATTTAATTTATATATTGTAAGTGAGAATCATTATAAATTGGAAGGTAAGAGTTCGAATACAGACCGTGCCGTCTTGATACCAGATGAATAAACTTAAGTGAATGGATTGATAAATTTAATTCATATATTGAATATTAACCTCTGTTTTGTTTTTAATGTTTCAGTCGCGAGGTTGAGTTAATTTCTTTAACCATTTTTTTTTTCTGTGTGTAGATCTCAGACTCCCACTCAATTTACAATTCGTAAGTAAAAAAAACATCAGCCGTTGGATTTGTTTTTAAGATATAATTTAAAAGTGTTTTGAATAACATAATTATATAATTAATGTGTGTAACGGCAGATGGGCTGTGGCCTCAGTATGAAGTCAAAGGATGGCCTTCATGTTGCACTGATGAAAGCTTTAATGAAAATGAGGTCATTTTCTCATCGTACCACCTATTTCTCCTTTAACTTTTATATATTTTCTCGTACTAATATTTTATTTTATTTTTGCATACCACGGCAGAAATTTACTAGACACGAAATCAAAAGTCTAAATACGTCTAAGTATAAACTTTTAGAAATAGGGACGGAATAAACATATAACTCTTAAAGCACGCATTCTAACAAGTTTATATCGACCTCTTTGTGCCGACTCCTCAGTAATAAAAAAACAAAAGTTTATGGACCTATTTGAAACTTTTTAAAGTTCAAGACAATTTATCATCTTACCGACCAGGACTATCTTATGGACCAAGACGACTTATTAAGACGGTTCATGATCAAATCTATGATTTAACCTAAACAGAGAAAAAGAAAAAAGCAAATGTAGTGATAAATATGCAATTGTGAATTATTGTAGATTTTAATTGATTTGCAGACAAGATAAAAGGTGACATTAATGTTAAAGAATAACATGATTCCAATTACACTTTGTAGATTTTTGTGTTGAGGAAGATTCTTCCGGAGATTTGGCCAAGTTATCGATGTGGTTCTGTAACATCCTGCAATAATAAAAAAGGATCATTTTGGGCTGAAGAGGTTCAAATTCTTCTTTTCCTTTCCTTAGCTTATTTATCAAATTATGAAATTTTGAATTTGAATTTGAGCCTAATCCCAGTTTGTGTGTTTTGTTGTATGCTGGGATGGTGGCCAATATTGCTGCAGTATGGTAATTGCTTCTAATTTCACCTTTCATCTCTATGATGTTTTTTAGAATGCAATTAAAAAGTTTTTCTTTCTTGTTAAAATTTTAAATACAAGTGAAAAAAAAAACACTTTAAAAGGGAAATTCGAACTCTTTCGTGCAGAGAAGCATGGAACCTGCGCAGCTCCTGTAATCGAGGGCCAATATAATTACTTTTCCACAGCCATCGGCCTTTTCAACACGCACAACGTCACTGTAAGTACTGTAATCAGTTGAGCTATGTTCTGGTTGGCTTCTCTTCAATAGATTTATTGATTAGAGTGAATTCTTCGGAAACCTTAACGTTTATAAAACTTTTGTTTGTTGTACTATCAAGAAAGCTCTGGAGAATGCTGGAATTGTAGCTTCTGATACTGTAAAGTATCCTTTAAATGATGTCATGGCTGCAGTTGAGTTTGCTTTTGGAGGAACTCCAAAGATTATGTGTGGTAAAAAGGGAATTATCAAGGAGCTCTACCTATGCTTTGACAAAAAATTTAAGGTATATGTTTTTCTTTTTTTTTACTCATTCATAAATTTAATTAGCTAGCTATTGATTACATATTCCATCAAATCTTCATAATTTGTGACCAATTGATGAAATATTTACTGGTTGCAGCCACGTAATTGTGACGAGACAAAATCGTGCCCTAAAAAAGTTAAGCTCCCAACAATTGAGCAATTGGGTAAGGATTTTTTCATTTTTTTTACCTGAATTCGAACACATCAAATGTTAAATAATGCGTCGCACATATTTGAGCACATAAAACATCTTGCTTTCGTATCATGTTAAATGTTAAATATTATCGGTTAATAGTTTAATCTTGTTTAATATATATATATACTGTTTGATGGTATATATAATGCAGAGTCTTACATGGGTGAGGGAGCAATTCCAAGGATGGCTGAAATTGCTGAAGCAGTTATCTAAACTTGTGTTTGGGCCAAGAAGTTATTGAAAATCCTTTCAATTTCTTGCTAATGATCTCAGTTTTCACCATGAAATTTTGGAACTTTCATTTGGTTGAAAGGCCCCATTATGTGGACTTGCTTTTCTAAGTAAAAAGAGTCGTGGATGATAAATAAAATGATCATTTGGAATTGGATGTGTTTTTAATTTTGAGGAATGAAGGGCTCGTTTGGTAACGTTCTTATTTTTTGTTTATGTTTCTTCATTTTTAATAAAGAAAATTGAATTGCATAGCTCCAACATCCATGGATTCAAGTATGATAAAATAATATTTCTATTTGTGTTTTGGAACAAATTAGAAACCAAAACAAGAAAAAAAAAACTTGTTTTAGTTGTTTTCAAAATTTTTATAGAATTTTGAGAATGTCTCGAAAAAAGAAAAATAAGAAACATAATTAGTTGCAAAATACTTAGATTTGTTAAGAAAATTATAAACGAGAAATACGAAATAGAAACGTTATCAAACGTGCCTGAAATTTTCCACTGGTTCCCAAAATTATTTGAGACCATTCCCATGAAAAGGATCAATCTCAACTCTTTAATAAGTATCTCCAATTTTCTTCCTTTTTTTCTTTTTATGAAAGAAGGCTAAAAATGGAATGTTTCAAGATAATAAGGTCGAAATGTGTGAAATGAAATGTTGTCCAGATTATTAATTGATATCTTTATTATAAAGTACATTATTAATAATGAATTAACATTTAAGAAATTTGTTGGGAGAATTGAAAATTTACTGTTAAATTTGATACACCTTGTTAAGCTCTAGGGTAAAAATTGATTTTTTAATTAATTATTATATATATGAAAAATTATTAGATCGTCAGAATAATCCTTAGAATTGATATACTTTATATTAACATATATCATTAATAGTAGTTATATTGGTATATCACTAATAAATTTTATCAATATACAAAAATTATAAATCGTTGATAGACGTCATATTGATACATCAACAACAAAATTTTGTCAGATAGATAGAATATACTTTATATTATATATACCAATAATATACTTTATCAATAATACAAAATTAGTAAATAAGTAATTTACATTTGCAAACTAATTTTCCGTGTGAAAATATTTGTAGAATTTGCAAACTAGTTATAACATCTTTTTTTTGGTGCCAATATTGATAGAATTTACCGGACACAAAATTGAAAGTTTATTGATCCGTTAAAATCTTTCATTGACGGACAAAACTTATAATTTATTCAAACAGAAATTAAATATACTCTAACATATATGTTAGAAAGGAATTAAATATACCTTAATGCATAAATGATATTGCCATTAATTATCCATATGATAGATTCATCTGCAAACATTAAACAAGATAAATGTGACATTTGTTAAGATCAATATATATCATTTCAATAATTTAATGGCCATTTGAAACATGTTACCACTGGGGCAGTATGTTAATTAAGTTACTTTAATTTGTTTTTTCTTTCTTATTCCTTCTTTCACTTGAGTCGCTGACAATATACCGACCTATTGACACTAAAACAAGGTTGAATTGTGAACTTAGTTCTCAATTATTTCAAGTCTAATCTATTAAATCTCTCGACTTTATACAACATCGCCAAACAAAGAGAGGTTTTAAGAAAGAGCATGAGTTTAGTTATATTGAAGAGATGTACGGTTGCACATACAAACAAAGATATTAATTTAACTTAGAGGAAAACTCTTTTCTCGTGTAACCTACGTAGCACCATTTTACTAATTTAATACTAGTTTAATAGTTTTAATAAATGACTTAAAGAATGATGGTTAACTTTCTTTTTTATTTATTTAGTACAACAAATATAAAATGTGGGGATTAAAAAATAGGTCTTTACTGCTAAGTTATGTTTCGTTGGTGGAGAATTATTTTGACTCTAACATAGTTGCTTTCTGGAGAGTGGACAAAATAGAGAGAAACTTTGAATGAAGGACGACGATGGTATGAATTATTTACATTTATTTACTCATTTGCATATCAATGATTGAATTGGCACGAAGATAATGCAATCTCATCCTAGAATCTATTGAGTGTATGCCACGTAAGTCCTATTTGGATAGAATGAGAAAGTACATTCAGACTTAATCTTGTTTTTTAATTAGTATAATATGTAGGGTGGAGATTTGAACTGGTATCTTAATCCGATGTACATTCTAAACTTTATTTTCTGAGTTTATTTTAAAATATATCAACAAAATTAATGGTGGTATTAGCATAGAGAGGAAATTATTAGAGTTGGAGTATAGCTCAACTAATTAAGATGTGTATCTCTTATCTTGGTCGTAAATTTAAAATTTCATCCACCCGTATTATTGTACTTAAAATTAAAAGAAGAAACTATTATTTAAGGAAAAAAAAAATACAAAAGATATGTCATATTGGTGCTAAAAACCTCAACATAATATAATAGGTAGTAAAGAGAAAAGAAAGAAGAAGGTTTAAGATTGACAGCTAAAACAAGCATTTTCTTCGATTAATTTTCTTCTATTGATGTCATTTCGAAACATAATACATGTTCTTTTAAACTTTTAAAAAAGAGTAATGGCTATTAAAAGCCAGCTCTATTCACAAATCACTACAACGTAGGTGGTGGAAATCGACTTACAATCCATGGAGATATATGTCAATTACTGATTTTAGTGATAAAAAAAGTTTTTAAAAAATAATATTTAAGTGTTTACGACAATATGAGTATAGCGCGACAGTTAACGCACATTGTTCGTCTCTTAGAAAGTTAGAAGTTCAATCTATGGTTTTTTCTTCATTTCTTATGAAAATGATTGATACTTTTTAACTGTGATGTGTCAAGAACCTGCCCACTTTTAAATGTCAAATTCTTTAAATGATCTATTATCCTCGAAAGGGTAAAATTTTAGTTGGTTCCTATCGTTTTAGTTTAAATTTGATTCTTATAGTTTGGTTAAACCATAAATACCAAATTAATACTTTTAAAATCATAAGAAGTAAATTGAAATTAAACCCACCAAATTGAAATTAAGCTTAAACTCTTACTAAATAAAAACTTTTAATCTCAAGACCAAAATGAAATGTTAGCCAAATCATGGAGACCACATTTGTAATTTAACTAAAAGCTAATAAAATGTCACCCACTCTTTAAAAATGTTTATGTTGATTCTATATGATCATCTTTCCGCTAATCTCAATTAACTATAACTTAACTTAAAAGATTAAAAAAACAACTAAAAGTACGATTTTGAAAACTTTAAAAATCAAATAAAAATCAAATTCAAACTCCAAATAAGAATGAGGTATAGAATAGAATGATAATAYTTTTTGAATTATATATTATTTGAATTAGATTTAATTTATATTATATTATTTGAATTAGATTTTATATGCCAATTATAATTAAGGAATAACATCGGTGCAAATATGTTATTAGATTTGTGTTTGTGAGGGTAACAATTTAATGAAATTTTTATTTGTTATTTTTTCTATTTCGTTTCTTTTAACACATATGTCTTACATTATTTTCTCCTCCTTTGGAACCACGTGGTTTTGTGCAGATTCGTACAGCCAATCAGATTCGGCCACCACGTTTGTCGGCTCCCAAATAAAATATCTCAATCATACCTGAAAAATGGACAATTATGGCCAAGGAATGTACTCGAATTACCATAATGCCCCCGTCTCCTTCCTTGTATAAGTAGAAGGATGAAAAATATATAATAATATTATCTACAAACCATATAACTTAATATTAATGGAAATATTAAATTCTACAAATATCAAAGTTTTTTCCGATCACCTTCTGGTATGAAACTGTCCTCCTCAATATATTGAATTTTCGTATGCACGAACCATCAAAAGACAGTTTCATACTAAAAAATTTTTATCAATGATATATATCTCAAGTAGTTTATGATGCTTTTTAAGTAGTTGATGGTCGAGATACTTTAATATTTCGAAAAGTAACTTTTTCGTATCATTAAAATGAATAATCTTATGAGGTTGACGCGGTTTCTTCTCCCTTCAACTTCCTTTCCTTCCCTTCTATTAATGATTTCAAGCATCGAGTTTCAACCATTTTATTCCAATGCTTTAACACCTCCTCTTGCGGACACCAACTTGCTAACATGTCTCAATTTATGTTAACATCGAAAATAACTTTTTTTTTCAGTATAATAATATGTGGAGGTATGGATTCGAACTCACAATCTTATGATTGTTTCACACATCGATTTAAAAATGTTCTTCGACATTTACATTTTATCGACATTTCSATAAAAATGAGACTTCAATATTTTCATCGACATCGATATTTAAAATCTTGCTAATAATCATCGAATTGAGAACTAGACTGATCATTATTTCCAACCGATAAAGTTACATTTGTAAAAACGAACTTTTAATTTAAAAAATACAAAATAAAAAATCAGTTACCCAAAGACTAAAAACTATCTCTCCAATTACAACCTTCACATTCTCCCATTGATATTAAAATTAGCTAATATTTATATATCATATTAAAAACTAATATAATATGTAAAAAGGGCTATGTCTATATATTTTCTAATTTAACCACAAAAAAGTCCTTTCGAGAAACATTATCCAATATTCCAATAGCAGCTTTTTTACATACATTTATTCTAAAAATTAAAAAATCAGCATCCACAACTTGGTCTGCTTCTGCTGCTGTTTCTCAATTTTCTTCTTCATCTTCATCCTTTGCCATTTCTCAGGATATGAATAAAATTGCGCGCTGGTTAAGTTTAGTTTTGAATTTTGCAAAATAGGAAAAAAAATTTAAAAAAAAAAAAGTAGAAATTGAAATTTTGAATTTTCGAACTCGAGAAAATGAGTGTATGCATTTATTATTGAGCTAGACTTTTGTTAATAAAAAATCATTAACTCGAGCATAATTCATTTAGTGTTAAGGGCATTTGTACCTGACTAAAGTAGACAGAAATCTTTTGTGAAAGACACAGATTTGAATTATTCACAATTGTGCATCAATAATTGACTTTAGTTTTTTAAAAGAAAATAATAATAATAATAAATAATTGACTAGAAGATAAATGACAATCCCAAAAACCATTAAGCATGTGCCACATAAGCCCTAATTAGATAGAATGGATAGTATTCACTATTAAACCTCATTTTTGGATACATGTGCTTTAACTTATTGTGCTATGTTCTGGTTGTTCTCACTGTATAATGATTAGTCTTAATTAATGTTAAATTAAAAATTAATAAAAATTTATTAAAATGACAATGAGATGGAGAGAGAGGAAGAGGAAGATAGAAATGCCAAATAAATTATGAAAAATCATTTTAAAAATTATGATTAAATTACAAATTTAGTCTTTATATAATTTGAGCACAGTTTCAATTTGGTTGCTATATGGTTCGGCCTTAATTTCAATTTGATCCTAGTTGGGTTAAATTTCAAAATTCTGACTCCTAATTGTATTTTACACTCCCAAAATAGTCCATCTAATTTTCTTATTTTCTACTCAATTTTAAACCCTAATTAATACAATCAACTAATAACATAGCTATCCAAATAGAAAATTGTCACATAAAAAAAAGATTATCAATATGGTAATGGCAAGGACGACAATTAGTAAAGTTTTACTAAATCATAAAACTAAATTAAACTTTTAATAGCATTGAGACTAAACTGAAACTAAACCCAAATCATAGGACCGATATTTAAATTGAGCTCAAACTCTATAAACTAAATTGAAACTTTTAACCATGAGAACAAATTGAAATATTGTCGAAAATCGTAGATATATGTTACGGGGCGAAAAACATTGTGCCACATCTCACTTGTTGAAGCTGACACGAAATCCGACTCAAGAAATCTAAACTCAATTAGACGACCACCCATAGGGAATAAATTGATTTCAGAAGTTTTGCCATGGTAGTGAGTTCGGACATATCTCGCATCTAACAGCCCACTTGCCACAACTCTGAATAATACTCCACTGTTTTTGGATGAGATATATCACAGGCATAATCTAGCCATTAACCGCCTCTAAATACCTATAGTAAATTGATTCTCATGTATGCGTAAATCTTGGTGTCAATTTGAAAGCGAAATAGTTCAAATCAGTATTGAATTGAACATTGGAATACTCATTTCTTTTTTCAGGTCAATTTCCATTGGGATTCATGACGAGTTTGAGTGAATTTTTGTGCCCAAACACTATCAAATTTTTATAATTTCACCAAATTAATCAAAAAGGATTTAGAGGGAACTATAGGTTAAAATCCTATAACAGCCACCTATCTAAAAATTAATTTTCTATGTATTTCCTTGACATCCAAATATATTAGAGTCAGATAATTTTTCTACGATATTAGTCGAAATACACACAAACGGACTAAAACACAAACGTATATAAAAGAAAAACCAACCAATTAAAGTCTTGAGCTCCGTACAGCCAATCAGATTCCCACCACGTTTCTTAAAAACATCTCAAATCATCATAATTCATACCTAAGAAAAGGACAATTATGCCCATGGAAAGTAGCCGAATTACCATAAATGCCCCTCACCCTCCTTGTATAAGTAGGGGCATGAAAAACCAAAGCTGGGCAGATCTCAGAGAAAAAAGAAAAGAGAAGAAAAAATGGGTTATTTGTCCATGAAAGGTAAAGCAGCGGTGGTGGCAGCGGCAGCGGTGTTCGTTTTAGCGGTTGCACAGCTGCAGACAGCGGCATATGCAGCGGAGTTCGACTACTTTGTGCTGGCTCTACAATGGCCAGGCAATTCGTGCAGAAACATAAGTTCTTGTTGCCCCGACAACGGTTGCTGTCCTGGATATGGGTTAGTTTTCTCTTTTTTAATATAACAAATAAGGTTGGGGATTTGAACTTATGACCTCTAAATCATAGATAGGTGTCAATTATTTCTGAGTTGAGCTCATGTTGGCAGTCATGGGTGAATTACTTATTTACTTCTCTCTTTTTTGAGTTAATATATAATTTAACCATATCCTTTTTTCCTGTGTTTGCAGAAGAACACATGCTCCCAATCAATTTACTATCCGTAGGTCATCTCGTATCTTGGTTTTAGTTCATCTACTTTAGAAAAGTGACAATTTTGATCTATATATATTTTTAAGATCTTGACTCAAATTGATCTACACACAATGAAAATACTTTAATATAAACTCTCGTTGAAATTGGGATAGAAATAATGAGATTAAAAATAAAATTAAAGGATCAAATGGTCACTTTTTAAAAATATAGTCACCAATAAAGCTGAAAATACATGATCAAAATGAACCCTTTAAAGAGTACCTGGACAAAAATAAATCAAAGCTATAGTGTAAGAACCTAAATTGTATTTTAACCTAGGTTAAAAGACACTTTTGGTCCCTATACTTTCAGCGGAGTAACGATTTAGTTCCTAAAATTTCGTTTGCGTTACAATTTAGTCCTTGAAATTTAAATTGGTAACAATGTAATTCATGAGATTTAGTATGTAACAGTTTAGTCTTTGTACTTTAAAAAGTTTGTAACGATTTAATTTCTCTATCATAAAAATTTTTGTTAAGTTTATTATATATATATAGATGGATAATCCGATGATGGATCAAATATATTTATAAATTGTAAATATTAAGTCGTTATATATGATAAAAATAGACACTTAATTTTGATGAGATTTTTCATAGTAGAGACTAAATTATTACAAATTTCAAACTATATACAAACTAAAATTATTACGTTTTAAAACTCAAAGAACTAAATTATTGATACTAATTAGAAAATAAGAAACTCAATCGTTATAAACAAAAGTTTAAAGACTAAATTATTATTTCACCAAAATCGAAAGTACAGGACCAAATATCTATTTTAACCTTTTAACCTATAATAAAATACAATGGCGTATGCATGCACTACAGATGGGCTGTGGCCAGAGTACGACGACGAAGACTCAAAATGGCCTTCATGTTGTAGTGACGAAAGATTCGATCCAAAAGCGGTATCTCTCTCATTCTCCTACCAAACTTCTTATCAGAATCTTCTCTTTAACTTGTCTTTTTTTTTTTTTTTTATGTTCTCGTTAAGAAAAACGTCGCTAAAACTCCGTTTTCTTGTAGCGGATTCATTGGAACTTATTAAACACAACCCTTATATATATGTTTAGTGATCATCTTAAACCAATAGTATTCACTGATATTGATTAACCTTCACACTGCACTTGTAGATTTCTCCCTTGAATTGGATTATTCTTTCAGAGGTTTGGCCAAGTTATCGATGTGATTCTGAAACAACCTGCAATGGTGAAAAATCATCATTTTTGGCTGCACAGGTTATTCTTCTTCCTATTATTATTCCTTATTTAATTTTATTTATAGCTGATGATCTATCAAAATTTTAGATTTATATTTGACACTAATCAAATTTATTTTCTGTGTTTTTTTGCGTTATTTGATGATGTAATGTGACCACTTGGCATCTTACCATTGGCTGCAGTATGGTAATTATTCTTTCTCCTTTCATCTCTACCTATAATGTCTTTTCAAATTCCACTTCCTTTTTTATGGATTTTTTTTAATATTGTTTTTAATTAAATTTATTTTTAAAATAATGCAGTTTATCAGAAAAAAAATGTAAAAAATGCAACTTTGGAAACTTATTCCAAAACTATTGATGTTTTAAAAAAAATGGGATTTGCATGTTTTCCTGCCTACATGATCGTCGTCACCATCTAACGTGGCGCTAGATGGTGCCACGTCAATTTTTTTTAACGGGAGTGTGGTCGTCTTTTGAAGAGAAAGAGACGACCATCTCACATGGTCGTCTCTTCAAGAGACAATATCCGGACGGTCCGATGTTGATTTCTGAATATATATATATTCAGTAGTTTAAATGTAAAAATTCTCTTAGTGGTATAGTGGGTGTATTACTACTTTGCTAACCTTTCCATACTCGATTCAAATCTTGGGACATATATTTTTCCTTTTTATAACAATTAATCATCTCTTTTCTCTTTTCTACCTAATATTATCATTATTTATTTCCATCACAGCTTCTAATAATAAAAATAAATTTATTATTATTACTATCATTGTATTTTCTTTTATTTTATATATTATTGTTTATATTTTGAAAAAAAGGTTTTCAAAATTTGCTTTCCAATTGTTTGTGCAGAGAAGCATGGAACCTGCGCAGCTCCGATAATCAAGGGTCAATATGAGTACTTCACCAAAGCCACCACCCTTTACACCAAATACGATGTCACCGTAAGCTTTTATAAAACCGCTCTCTATTCAATAGACTATTTGGTGTGTCGCTTCATCCTCGATCATCACACCCATCCAGACCGATCCTTCTATAAATTGGATTGAATATGAATTTTGTTTTTTAAAATGGATCGATCCAGATCCTATTTTGATTGGTCTATTGAACTTGCATAAAGACAAGATCCAATATAATAAACATAATAATATATATTGAATAATCATATACATACATAAATACATATAATTATATATAATTGATTAGTTTTTAGTAGGGTTATTTATTGTCATTTCTATTTTTCTGATGAATTTTCTTTTTCTTTATATTAATATAGTAAAGAAATATAAATGTAATTTTCAAAAAGTAACCCAATACAATATATTCTTTTAAAACATAAGATGATACAACAAAATTTATAATCTTTAAAAATTCTAATACTAAAACAAAAACTTAATTTGAATAAATATTAAAATAAATTTTATAAATTAAAAAAGAATTTATTATATTGCCAATTTAATTATTTATTATCTCACAAATGCATAAAGGGAAGTATATAAAATTGATTAAATAGTTGCCATTTTTTCAGTACAGGTAGGTAGGGAGACGCCTACTTATAAACACCTAAGATACCTTCTCCTCTATTATTTAATAGATGTTTTTTCTCAATAATATTATCAGTATTCGTCCTTCTTGCTATTCACTACTAAAAATTTTACAGTTTTTTTTTTTTTTGTTATGGTCTTGTAAGTATTTTTCTTTCCTACTGGTCAAAAATAAAAAATGTAACGGTGGCCGGTGGCTGGCGCTAACAATTAAGCATGTACATATGAACACGTAATTTTTTCCTTTTTCTTTTCCTCTCTATTTGAGATAGGTTGAAACTTTGGTGCATAACATTTATAAAAGCTTTGTTATTTGTTACCCATCAGAAAGTTTTGAATGATGCTGGAATTGTAGCTTCTGTTGCTCCATATCCTATTATGTACATCTTGGATGAACTTCGAAGGGCTTTCCATGCAATGCCAAAGATTACATGTGCTGAAGATGGAGTTGTCAAGGAAATCTGGCTATGCTTTGACAAAGATTTTAATGTATGGTTATATCAAAAATATTCATAATTAATATATAATGCATGTGACCAATTGACAAACGTCGTAAATCTTTACTCGTTGCAGCCACGTAATTGCGCGTTTTCACTATCATGCCCCACATTTGTTAGGCTGCTCCCAACAGACGTGCCCGATTTCGGTAAGTTCCTTTTTCTTCTTCTTCGAATCACTCGAGAAATTAATGGTTAATATAAGGTATGTTTAATCTTGTGTGATTAATATATAGTTTTGACATTATATAACTGTGTGATATGTTATAATGCAGAGCCTGTGGGTGAGGGAGCAATTCCAAGGATGGCTAAAATTGCTCAAGTAGTTATCTAAACTTTTTATGGACCAACAAGTTAATGGAAATTATCCTTTATTAATTTCCCTCTCTCAAGTGCTTTGTAATTCCCACCATGAAAATTTGATACTTTCTAAGTAAAAAGGAGTGGTGGTATAATAAATAAAGGTTGGTTTAATCAAATATCTTTCTTTAATTTCTTGCATATTAGCAAAATTCAAGGTTTTTTTTTTAAATTCAAAGCTTTCTCGACTGTGTATAGATAACTAACTATAGATGGTCATGGTGCTCTTCTTTACAGATGCAGCAAAAGAAAGAAAATAAAAAAGAGGAGAGAAGATATATACAAACTAGATCGTGTATGTTGTGTTTTGAAATGTGGTTTGTCAACGTTAGCTTAGCTCTAGTTATCTCTAACCAAGAAATTATGAATTTGAATTTCCTACCGCTACTTAAAAAAAAGATAACAAATGCATTCTCTCTAATAAAATAATATATATATATATATATATATATATATATAAAAGCCACAAGAACAGCTAAAATCAATTTGACTAATAATCATTGAGTGAGAATTCTTTTATACAATAAAACTCACTATTTCCAACCTTCACATTTCCCACATTTACCAACAAGTAGAATACAATAGGGCTTTCAAATAGCAACAGAAAAATGATTACAATATTTTGAACTTCTAATAGTGTATGGTGTTAATTAACAGCATATTTCTAACAAGGTTATTGTTTTTAAGTTACACTATTAATGATCCTGGTGGATCAAGAGCTTACGGGAGGCGCCATACCACCGCGCATACGAGGCGTGGAGGTTCGGCCAGTCGGAGGAGGAGGAGTAAGTGAAATGATGGAGCCACAGAGCCAAAACCTGCTCTTGTTCGTCTTGTTGCAGTGTCCCTATCATCTCCTCCAACACCAACTCCACCTCACACCGTTCCCCGAGGCTCAGGACCGGAGCATCGGTGCCGTTGCTGCCTCTGCATAGCAATGGAAGCCATGAAATGAGCATCCTCAACTTGGTTTGCTTATGCTGCTGGTTCTCACTTTCTTCTCCATCTTCATCCTTTTCCATTTCGCTCGATTGCTTCAACAAGAATGCTACACCATTGAATCATAACTACGATTTGTTAGATATGAAAAACTAGACCTTTCTCCATTTTGTTCTACCTTGTTTCCTGAATTGAAAATAACTGGCATTCAGTCTAGTTTTGAACCTTGCAGAACTTTAAACTTTCATATATACTTGTTTCATATCGATTCTCTTACTCCCAAATATTTTCTCTTAGTCCTAAACTTTATATAAAAATGCATTTTAATTCTCGTATTTAAATCTCCCTATTAAATTTAAGAAAACTATTGCACAATGTCACATTAAATTTAAATTTGTATTCAGAAATAGTTTACCTAAAAGTTCAGTAAAATACAATACGAAAATTCAACAAGGAAACACTAAAACAAGTCACATATGGAAGTTACAAGAATAAATAATTAATTTCAAAGTAAAAAAAAGCCTAAACCATTTTCTTCAATCTTTCCTTAGTGTCAGCTTCATATTATATCATTACAGAGATATCAAATTGATTTCCTTTGGACTTTGATGCTAAGAGAATCAATCAAGAACTGATTCCATTTCTGTCTTTTACTCATCAAATAAATGACAATTGGACCAAAACAGTGTAATAAATAAACAAATCATATATATATCAAATTGGCTCAATAGTTAAAATACAATTGATTTAGCATCCCTACGATTTCAATCTCGCACTCCACTTTTACCCTAATCCCCAGAAACCGGAAAAAAGAAATATATACACAAATACATATATATACATATACATATATGTATATACAAGAAGTGGGAAACACTAGCTGCTAGTGACATGGGAAACATTTTCCTTGTTTTCATGAATCCATCAAAAGTTTTCAACTTTAGGTTACACAAATTAAGGCTGATTAAGGCTAGGGTAAATATGTATTTTAGTCTGTAATATTTGAGTATTTTTTCAATTTGATCTTTATTATCTAAAAGGTTTCAATGAAGCTCCTTAGGTTTGAACATTTTCAGTTATATTCTTCCAATCCGTGCATGTTAAAATTAGTTGATTAACCTTAAGTAACATACTACCTTTTTTTTTTTGGGTGAAGTAACATTCTACTTGGTGATTGAGAAAGACCTGGAAGAAAAATAAGGCCACCTTGGAGAAAAAAAGTGAAATTTCTGTCCACTTCTAAAAAAATTCAGAAAAGAAGTTAGAAATTTCTCTCTCTTAATTAGCCTTGTTTCTCCTTTAAATTTATGTCGACTCACCAAGCAATATACCATGTAAGTTTATCATCAATCAACTTTAACATAACAGGAAAATTATAATTAAAAAMTATTAAAATATAAAAAAAAAAACTAAATTGAAACTTTTTAAAATAGAGATTAAATTGAAAAAAACACTCCAACTACGAGACAAGTAAATACAGTAAAACACAGTGACAAGAGACAAATAGAAGATAGAAGTAGTGAAAAAGTTGTAGATTTGACTTGGTAATGCCAAACCTAACGCAACGCATGGAAGAATTAGTCTATTAAATAACTTCTCATGGAGTCGCGACAATAACTTCAATACACACTTGCAGACAAAGAGAGGGCGGCTGGGGTTCATGGCTATTTGCAGCCTCAAATAAAAATTCTAAATTTAAATAATTAATTTGTAATTATTTTTTTAACTTAAAAGGAAAGTGGAATTTCGATTTATTTAACAAAAGGTTTTAAATACCCATTTCAGTAATAGAAAAGGTTGAAATTCAACAAAAACAAAAAAATTGGAAAATTGGAAAGTTCATAAATCTTTCATGGATTATTCATATGGAAAAAAATAATTACCAACAGAAGAGAAGAATTCATTGGGATTAGAAAAATGCTATAAAGTAAATGGCCACTGCCAAAAACTACCCTATACTATATATGTGTTAAGATAAAAACCCTAAATCATTATAACTCAATCCTTCTACTACCAATAAAGACCTATATTTTTCTCAATTTGAAAAGTCGCATTGCAGCTTTTAGGTTTCAGCTGGATTCATGTCACAAATCCATAACTAGAAACTTAAAATTTAATAATTGGATGTGATATTTGAGGATATCATTTCGACTTTGGAGCATTTGGTTTAAGATTGAAAAGTCAAAATCTATGAAGCATTTGGGAAGCATGAATTTGTGTTAGTATTTGGAATGGGTTATAAAATCTAAATTGGATTTATTTTGTGTTTAGATTGAATACAAGAATAAGTTTGAAAACCCTCAACTAGGCACAGTCTAAGGTTTGGAATTTTTAAAAGTTAGTGTATAGGGATGAATTTCAAAAATTAATATTAATTTTATTGTTTTACCCCTTCGATATTTTACCAAACTAGTAAAGCATCCTTGACTTTAACACTCCAAGTCAATGAAAAAAATAAAGCATTTAAGAAATGGATTCAAATCATAGACTTACTGAGATTTGATATTCTATGAGTTTTTTTCTTAACAACCATATATGTTGTAACCATATATGTAGTAGGTGATACTAAACACTGACTTATATTATATTAAGAAAAAAACCAACAGACAAACGAGTAATTTAGAATCAGAAATATAAGACTAGAAAAGTAAAATTCATGCCTACCAAACCAATGAACCAATGGCCCTATGTGTCATTGTCTTTTTTATCCCAACTTACACAAACGTAACATATGGTTAAATATCTCCAAGAATTCAATGTGGAGGATGTACCTTCTTAGAAGGGTTTAGAGATCGCCAAGCCAAACACTCCAGTGACTAGTGAGCCTAGTCCAAGGAAAAGTTTTTTTTTTCAAATATAATGTTGTTATTTTCAAATTAAAATGATTTCAAAAAAATCCATGAGCGTCCCGACTTACTCACCCCTCTACTCAGGAGAGCTGTCTGATCCTATAACATTTGATGTCGAAAAATACATAGGAATTAATTTTTAAAATAGATAGCTATGATGGAGTTTAAATACATTTCTCTCCTAGTTGGTTTCAAATTCATTCTAAATTAGAATAAATTCTCTAAAAAACTTTGAGTCAAACTTTTTCCAAAAATACAATTTTGCTAGTAAATCGTCCACGATTTTAGGACAAGTTATTTTTGGTAAATACATTAAAATAAATACACACACACCCCACTAACTTTGATACCCCTACGTGTGCAGTCCTACTAATTAATTTATTTTCACGAAAGTTTTTCAATCTTCACGTGTATAAAATAAATTATATAAAAAGAAACAAATTTTATAACACTTATTAACTCGAGAGATCAAAAATTGAAATAATATTATGATATGCAACTAAATTTACGAGCCATAAAAAATAAAAAGAAAGAAAAAAAATCGTAATTCGTACCTGCGACTTTAATCAAAGAGCCCTGCAGCCGCGGCTCCGCCGAGA